TTTACATTTCAAAATCAGTCAGCTACTAGGCACAAATCCCTCTATAACCACCTGGATTTACAGCCTCAGTTCCACACACAGACAGACAATTTCTTATAGTCATGCTCACATTTAACTGGAGAAAAACAAGGCTGCAAGCATGCAGGGTAGGAAGCGTGGCTCTTAAATTAACTGCCCATTCTTGCATTTTACTTACTCTCCCCTCCTGCAGTACCTGCCCAATCTTCTACCCTCACATCTCCAATCCAGCCAGTTTTGCAATCCACAGTTATCTACTGTTTTGCTCAGGACCAGTTCCCATGCCTAGCCAACCTGCCAGGCTTCCCCATCATTGCTACTCAATAAGGTCTCCAGCATAATTAAAAGCATTAGCTTTCAAAGTCATATTACCCATCAATTAACTAATAGATAAATACAGCATTTTAGTCTCTTTTAACAACTTTTAACTGAGTACAGGTAAGTAACACGGGTGCCTCCAAAGGCACATTCCAATGTAATCAGACAATAAACAGCTGGCTACCCAAGTCTATAAACATTACTTATTTTATTTCACTTGAAAGATTACAACATATCTAGAATTTTGGAAGGCATCACTAACACATCCCCATCTTCCTGATCATAATTTCTTCATGTTTTTTCCCCTGAAGAAATTGCTGACGTTAAATAAAAAGCAGCATTACACATTACAGAGTAACAGCTCATTAATAACTCCTTGCAACTATTCTAAAAGATATACCTTTTTTTACACTGAAATGCATTAAACAGACATAATAAACTATTTCTATAACGTTGCATTTAAGTCATGATTTCTTTTCAGTCCAACAGTAAATCTCATCTCTACCTTCCAAGACAAGATACAAGTATTTCCAGAGCTTTGGTGGAAGATGTGTAAAACAAACTGCTATATTGCCTGTAAGGGATCTGGTAAGCAGCTGAAGTATGCTGTCGTTCTAAAAAGTTGTATTTCATGCTCCTGAAATGCCCAGAGCTTCAGGCAAGTACTTGGATACCATCTATTTAAAACAATATGAGCATATTCACATCAACACTGCTAGTGCACAGTTTATTCAGCAAGTGAAGACTGCTGAAACTGCTTCCATCGGTCTCTCAAGAGAAGATACTGAGCGCTTCTCTAAGTTGCTTAGAGAAAGTATCTTCGCTCTCACGGTAACATTATACTACCTAAACCACATAGTACATACACACACAGTACTACATACAGCTGCTAGAGGTTATTTTCCCACTCTATCTGCACGTAAACCCCCACCTTTTAATATAAAGTCCTGTAGCTCCAAACTCGGGGACAACACCCTTCTATTTTCGGAAGCAGCAAACTTAAGCATGCTATGAAAAAAATACAGGTACACAGAAGAAACGTTAACATGGAAGAGTGACTTAAATGAGAAGCTAGGTAAAGGCATTAACAATCACCTCTCAAATTTGAGTATTCAGAGTGACACAATCTGCGCTAGCTCGATTCTTAGCATTAGGAGCTACAAAAGGTTTTGTATGTGGTTTTTTGTTAGTATTTCTTTGGTGGTGGTGGGTTTTTGGGTTGGTTTTTTTTTTTTTGTCGCTGTTGGGTTTTTGGCTTGGTGAGTTTTGTTGTGTTTGTTTGTTGTTTTTGTTTCTTTAAATTAATAACTTACATCTATCCAGGGTCATGAATCTCATCTATCAGTAAGAACAGACCAAAATATCACTTAGTTCAATTTATGTAATTTTAAGAATGCAAATCACAATGAACAAGCATTTACGAGGACAGCACAGAGACCATGTCATGATGAGGAAGAATAAACACAAGTGAGTGAAACAGATGAGATGATGTGCTGCCAGGCTCCTTACCCATTGCTGCTGCTGTTGGAGCTCCCTGATGGTATTCTCAGCTTGCTCCAGTTTAGTAATGGCCTCATCACTCTGCTGTTTGATGGTGGCCAGCTCCCGTTTTACGAGGTAGTTTTCCTCAGCCTCCTGGGCCCTTGTCACTTGTCCCTTAGGACATAATTTATTTTTTTTAAGCAATTGAGGACAAATCCAAGAAAGGCTGCCTTTGTGATGCTTAGCTGCTTATTTCATCAGATTGGTTTTGCAAACAGCATAGAGTACAATTGGTAGAAATTTTAGGACAAGGTAGTACTAAACAGCTGCTTTAGTACTTTATTACAAAGTTCAGCATCCGTTTAGCAAGCACAATTGCGTACTTGCATTCAATTAAATTCTTCTCATGCAATATTACTCAGTTGTACATGCACAGATTTAAGTTCGCAATATTCAATTTCAGTGTTAAGACAGTGTCATAGAACCCATTTGTCATAGAAATTTGTACCAAAAAATTACGTTAGGTTAGGAAAAATATTATAACGTGCAGGTATTGGGTTTATATATATTTTAGTAAACAAAATTAAATAAGTTTCTAGCAAGAGATTAGCTCTATATTTATTCCAAATCAGCAAGGCAGGGATAGAGTACAGCATGCAAATATGCATGCATTAAAGCAGTTTGGGGTTTTTTGAGAGTAGGAAGAGAGTCAAACAGTAAAAGACTAAAAGACTATACCTGTATCAATCTATCTGCCAAGGAAGCACTTTCCTACAAAGGAAAAATTCAGATAGGAATGAGGAAAAGAAAAACCAAAACACAAAGGGGTGATAATAGTGACAAAAAAGACAAGAGCCAAGAGAAAGAAAATGCCCAAATTCTACCTGTTTTCTGTGCAAACTCTTTTTGCAAAATTAACAACTCTTCATATAAATTAAGGCAACTCAGCCTGAAAGTCCCAGGCAGCAGCCTTTTCTGCAATAGATTTAACACAGTCCAGCTCTGACACAAGAAGGTCTCAAAGCCAGATTTCCGTAACACTTAGAATTCACCTACAGGACACTGACTATTTTTACATGAATGGCTTGCTTCCTTAATTAACAAAAGTCACTGATACATTATCTGATTCGATCTAGTAGGTAGATGCAAGACGTGGTCTATGGTCCGTCCACAACATGAAAGGAAGGCATAATTTGAGCACAAAGGAAGCTCCACTAAGCACTGAGGCATTCATGCAGAACTAAAGCTTCCAAAAAGATGAAGCAGGAAAGTTAAACGGTACAAACTGACAGACACAAGTAGAAAATTTCAACTATGACAGCTAATATTTTGTTTTACTGAACTCCTGCAGTACCTCAATTGAGCAGTTCATAGATTCTCTTTCCTCGTCAAAGTTTTGCAAGAAAGAAGTTTTCGTTTATGCACACTGACAAGCACTACATTCCCCGCCCTCCCAAGTTGCACATTTAATTCATTTCTCCCCTTGAAAGCACTCAATTTTTGCAGATTCTACAACAGAACACATCTATTCACAGAGCATCTTTGTCCTTGGAACTTTTATTAAAGTTCAAACTGGTTGATAAGAGCTATTACTTAGAAGTTAAGGTAAGCCATTTGTCATTAAGGTACACTAAGGAAATCACAACTAAATCACATAGGTTAGGATGAGGAAAAAAGATTTTTAAATAAAAGTAAGTTTTCAACAGAAGAACTGAATGTGTTCACACTTTATGAGCTGTTTTTCAGATGCTGTGATGATAATGATCTTCAGAAATCCTTATTAATAGATAATATTTTGAAATGTTCTCGTTCCAGTCAGAATGGGATACTCTGAAAGTGAATTCTGAAATTTTAAGTACAGAATTTGAAAAGCATTAGCGTCTGGCAGTTCATCATGGATTTCCTAATTAAAAAAAAAAATCTGATTTCAAACCTCTGCAAGTTCAGCATAAAACAGGGTTATTTACTATTATAAATTTGCCAAGAGCATTGAAGTGATTCACTATAGCTTCAAACTTCTTAAGAAGAGTCTGCTCTTTTCAGTTAGTTTTATCAGCACTTCAACATTAGAAAAAAAGATGTTTATAAAATTGTATTTTTGGTCACAACTTTCACAATATGTCCTCATTACGTGCATTTTTCCAAACTAAATTCAGAAATCAATTAAATAGAATTTGACATAGATTGACTGTTTTCCCAAGAAACTGTAATGGATTTAACATCTGAAGTGTGACATCTTTCAATTACGTCACTCTAAATTGACTCTTTACCACTTTCTTCCCTGTGAAACATGAACAACTGTTTGCAACTCACAAGAGCGTTCAAATTTCATTTGTTGAAAGATAGTTGCTATTCACAGTTAAGATGGACAAGAATGCTCTCATTCTAGAGCAGAGCAGCTCAGATGCAATCTGTCACAGGAAGCACAATACCAGAATATAGGAGAGGCCATCAGAGAACGATGCCTGCATGTTGGCAATGTACTGACAACAATTATCATGCCTACTTTTAAAGTTACATCCAGTTACAAAGCAGCATAACAAAACTCTGTTCCAGACTGAATCCGTGAGAAATAAGTCTTAAAAGATATTCTCCCCCCACCATGCACCCAAAATTGCTACAAAAATTCAAAGCTATATAAAAGACATTAATGGCAGCAGACTTCCTGTACTGAATGTGAATGCTGCAACAGCACCCCTCTACTGCTGTATTCGCTAGCGATGAAATAATCTGCTTTCATCTCCATCTCTCTCTGGTCATTGGTAGTTTCTGACATTTTGTTCCTATGTAAAACCACCCAGCAACTTCAGATTTTCAAAACTGAGGATTCTCTCACAATAACCTCTTTTCCACCCAAGCAGTCCACTATTTCATGTAGTCTTCTGGACTTTGAACAGACACTTCTAATTCAGAAAGTAAACAGTACAACAAAAGCTGGGCATGTCAAAATGTTTGATTTCATAGTCACTAAGGGCCAGACATAACAACCTTAAACATCTACAAGCACTGACCCTAATTGCTTTGTTATTGCCATGCTATTTGGCTAAGCACTGTTAGTAAACACCATAGATTAGCAGGAAAAACAGTAAGCTATAATTCTGAGATTTCCGTTTCATATCATAAAATTGCCATCAATTAAGTATAAGTTAACACAGATTAAATCTAATCACCAACATACTTACTTTTTCTAATGTTTCAATGCGCTGTTTCAGGAGTCTGTTTTCAGTGCGTAACCTCTGGAAGGTAAACAGTTCAGAACTGTATTTCTCAAGTCATGAATTGGAAATCTGATAAAAGCCAAGCAAGCTAACACTTTTATCTCATCACATCTATGAACGTCCATATAAATACAAAAATAATTAGTGACCTTTTTAACATCTTTTTATACGATATACTAACTCAAAAGATGAGCTTAAACAGCTTGATACAGCAAAGATGAGAAGAAGTCTCATGTTACACGAAAGCATCTGCGTTGCACTAGATGAAAGCAGTATGTCTGCAGGTGAACCACAGGGCTTAACCACACATTAGCCTTGACAGCCTCCTCTTCATAAACAGAGCCAGAGACAGTCTTCATGGTTACGGGACATGAAAGTGCACTCCCTGCACTAGGACAGGCTCCTGAAATGTAGCTACAAGCTTTCCTTCCTTTTCCTCCCAATAATATATGTCAAATTATATAATAATATTTATTTAAACTATAAAGTTATACTGAGAATTATTTACCTCAGATGCCCCAGAAGTGAAAAATAATTGTGCTGAATTGCATATTTTACCAGTCCATTTCCTATACATTTTAGCAGCCCACATTCAGATAGAGATCTGTGCCCCTAAGAACAGAGCCATGGATATCAGTCCAGTAATGCTTTATTCTGCCAGGCTGAGAGGCAGACTCAATGTGCTTGTTATTCCATCTCCCTAAAACAGCAGAGCTTCTTGACAGAAGAGAGTAAGTCATAAATGGTTTATATTAAGGTCCCAAAGCAGGGCCGAGAAACAGACAGCTTTGGGTTGTTGGGTTTGGTTGGTTGGGGCTTTTTTTGTTGTTTTCTTTGTGCGTTTTTGTTGGGTTGGGGGATTTTTTTTATTGGTTTTGTTTGTTTGTTTTTGTTGGGTTGGGTTTTTTTGGGGGGGCGGAGCAGGGAAACATTTGAAATAAGTTAAAATACTAGAATCTGAAGTTACAGTTGTCTTTCAAATAATTTTATTCTGTCCTATTCTGCAGAGAGCTGTCATTTGAGTCCTGCAAATCTTCTGATTTGAGATGACATTACAGCAGGTCCTAACGTTGCTAAACTGCCTCACTGCCTGTTACAACAATAACAAACTGCCTAAAAAAGCCTGGAACACCTTCGTGCTGCTCCCAGGTGCACGTCACTGAATTTTTCTCAAGAACCAATGCCTTAGAAACTGCTGTTGAAAGGCAAAACCACCAGCAGTGGACAGGAAGAAGGAAGGCTGTAACTCACTCCCTCTTACTAAGCTCCGTATACTACACTTGCCCTTCATTTCTCCCACCGCCTCTTCTCATGGAACTGGCTAAAAACGTGACACAAGGAAGCAAATCCAGATCAAACACTACGCTATGAAAAAAACGTGAAAAAGGAAAAAAAAGCAGCTAAAGCCTATTTATGTCACAAAAGCAAAAAGATGCAGTGATTAAGTAATTACAGGAAGTAGGTCAGTTAGTAAAAGGGAAACAAACCGCACTCGCAGGGTGGTTGTTTTGGGTTTTTTGTTTGTTTGTTTGTTTTTGGTTTGTTTTTTTTTTTCCACATTATGTATCAATTGCAGAAGCTCCAAAAGAAAAAGTGACTGCAGACAGAAGACACTAAATCTTGGGTCCAATGCATAAGAAAAATCAAGATCTCAAAAATCAATGATAAACCACTCAAGTGCATTCTGATAAACTCTATCTTAACACATGTTTTACACACCACCTGTCTGGGACACCTACATCTAAACCAGCGTATTCAGAACCTCTGATAAATGAGACCATCTGTAACGAAGCTTCAGTCAGCAGAAAATAACAAAACCTAAAGTACAGCAGACCTCCATCAAAGATTTTTCTTTAAATGTCCATCAGAAGTCTCAGTAATTTCACTGTAAGTGTCCTTTATGACCAGATATCCCAAATACAAATGCTGAAAGAGAAGAATCTGGGGACCTCAATTACACGTCCTGCTACATATACAGATCAAATACAGAACCCCACATCCAGGAATTAAACTGATCCATAAGTAAATTTGTTGAGGCTCTCTTACTTTAATTTCAACTTGTTCTTCCATTTCTTTTGTCTTTATTGTAGTGTATTCCTTTTCTAACCTAAAAATTAGAAATAGTAAATTATGATTAGAAAAATTGTGGCTAACTTGTTGGTGTCATACCTAACAAACAACAGTAGAACAGAGATACAGATTATTGATATTTCCTCTGTTTAAGTGGCCACTGGAAAAGCACTCCAGTAAACATTTAGACTGGACATTAAAACTAAAAACACAAAGACTTCTGTAGATGCGAACAGACTCTGAACCAGCACTCTGAAGTGCGGGTGCTTGCTTGTATACATTTATAGTGGCAGTGATTTGGAGCTACTCTGTAATAACCACGCAATGTAATTATACAGTAAACAATTCAATAGATTTAGCCAAAAGAAAAAAAAGAGCTTGGAAAGCCTGGAAGACAGAAAGGTACAGAGAGATTTGAGACAAATATCTTAAACATATAAAACAATTTTGGCCCCTCTCCAGCAAACCACAAAATTGTCCCAATTGAAAAAGGTGGCAACAAGAAAAAACAAGCTGAGATAAACAATACCTCTACAGAAGGCAAACAAAGTTTAGACTCAGAATGGCAGGATTTTAAACTACAGACACTTATATTGGCTTTCAGAGAAAATGTTTTTCCTGAAAGCTTTGTTACTACTTCTGTTTTAGAGAATGCTCACTCTACAGCACTGATCACAGGCCGCTGACAGAAGGACTGGCAAATTCAGCCTGAAAGACCCTAGCACAATCTACAGTGCATGAACCGTGAATATACAATATATTACAACCAACTGGAGAATTGCCAGACTTAACCCTGGAAAAGCACAATACGGTTTGATAAGCCAAGCTGCACATCATTTACCAAAGGCAGAAAAGAGAAGATATGCGACTAACCTTAAAAAAAAAAATAGTAGTATTATGCTCAGAATTTCAAACCCCAAATGAAAGTTATTTTACAATTATCAATGATGTTAAAGTTTCATCGCTTTATATTTTAAACAGCACTAATCTCTCTAGCCCTGTGAATACTTTTCCAGTTGCTGAAAAACTGTAAATACTATCGTCTTAAGAATTTAGGCCAGATCATAAAGTTTAACCTCCTTTCCCTGCTTCACCCTCAAAAAACCCAAAACAATCCCCCCCCCCCCAAAAAAAAACCAAACTCACACACTCCACACCCTGCCCCCTCCACTTTTTCTATTCAGATCCTGTTTACAGAAGTGCTGTAATTCCCCATAACTTGCAGCTTTCTTCAAAAGCTTTTTAGGTTATTTTTATAAATGAGGTATAGCTTTATTTCAAGAAAAATAGCAAATACTGCTTTAGAAGAATTTTCTTGTAGACAGAACTTCAGTTTTAACTGTTTATAGTACAAAATACCAAAAAGTTTAAAGATGGAAAATTCAAAATGAAATACTGAATAACTAGTTTTAAAGATAAACAAACAGTAGCTCTTAGCAACAGTATAATCTATTTTCTCAAAATGTTATACCTACTTTTTCATCTTTTTTGCATTGTATTTGACTTGGTAAGATGCTTGGATTAATTTGTCTGGACCACTGTCAAACTGATGTGGAATGACCTTTTGAAAGTGCTAAAAGCAATCAGAGCACAAGATTACATGTAATTAATAGCTGCAAGGAAATACACACACATTACACATTTCAGACATCTCTTACAATTATTATAACCTTAATTTACCTGTAACATTCCTTCCATGTCAAGTTGCAGTAATTCTGCTTGGTTCATCTGAAGCACTGCTAAACCTACTCGAAATACTATCTCTAAACCCTGAAAACAGAAGTTAAGAAATATCCAACAATTATTCATGGCATTGTCAACAGTACAGAACGATTCTACTATTTACTGATGTTGGAAATCTCACCCAGTTTCTCAAACAAGCAAAAGGGCTACTGAAAAATCTCTCAACAAATTGGTTCTGGGTTTTTTATTTTGCCCCAAAGACAAGTAGTCCGGCTATTTGTCCTGATGCCAGACCTCCCCCCTAGAGAAGCTAGTGCTGAGGTAAAAACTCGAGTGACAGGTGTTCTCTATGTCAGCTTTACCAAAAGTTTTAAATATACCTAGTACAAAAGCCCCCAGGTACTTCTTAAAGTCATTTTAATTTCGGACATGGTACAACACAGTTAAACTATTTAAACAGATCCAAGGGAATGTCTCGCTCATATGTACCGTCTTGGACATTCTTGAGCGTAAGCTGAAAGGATCCACCTTTGATTTACTATTTTCTAAAAGATGATTGCAGAGAAAGAGCATAAACAGACCGTAAGCTTTGATTTGTTAGCAGTTACAACCACGCAAAGCTCTAATCCTAAACATGACTTAAGTGTCTTTGTGATAGTGACACTGAATCATTCCATACATTTCTTTGCCTACTGTTCATCATTTGGACAACAGAAGATCCCAATGCTCCCTCTTCTTGGCCTGCATATCCCCATGGAGCTTTAACTTTGGCATGAAAGCAGCATTACTTTCCACCCCAAGCTTCCTATCATACTCAGAAACCGATGTCCCTGTTGTATGCAAAGCTATGGCGTTGCATCCAGAACTGACAGGTTTGCTAGCCCTTCAACAGGCTTAGAGTACAAAGCTGCATACAGTATCTACGTTCAAAGACTTAGTTGCTCTTCCTTGACAAACTACATGCAGAGACATCTTCCCCTACCAAATAATCTGATAAGCATAAGGACTAAAAAGCAAGAGTATCTGAGATTTGCCCATCATAATGCCATTTATACACTACCTAAATAACTGCTTTTAACAGCTACTCTTGAAATGGAACATCAGTATTGAGTAGTTACCTCAGACATAAAGATATCAAATATTCTTGTTGCAATTGGTAGTGGAAAAGTTGTAAGGAATATAGTTAAAAACCATGATGACGCATACATAGAAGTGTGGAAACTTTGAGACTGAAAGTGCACATAAAGCTCTGGAAGATGCTCCTGGAAAAGAAGAAGGAAAAATATATGTTAAGCTTCTGCTGGTAGTTTTAGTGTGTCCATGTTTTTGACTAATTTTGAATAAAAGAAGAATGTAATTGATATTTAGTACAGACAGCAGCTTCGTAGCAAAGGACTGGAAAAGATACTACTCATCGTTATCAAGAACCATGCAACAGAAGTCCCAGTATTGAATGCCCTACAACACTTCTACCATGCAAAGCACAGATTACAAAAACGCTTCCTGATCCTAATAGGAAGTCACAAGCTTGTAAATCCCTAAGTCATATCTAGAGTGGGCTACAAAAAAGAGCTAAAAAGATCTAGGGTATGGCCAGAGACCTATGTCTTCTTTGGTACCCGCCCCAATCATCTTAGGAACTGGATCACAAAACACAAACCTATTTGCCTCTATCAGCCTGCACAGGAAGAAGTTTTGTGTGTCCCAAATCTGAACAAAATTTTAACTCCACATATGAGGGTATCTTCCAGTTTCCATTTTTTAAAAATAGCTATAAATTGACTATGAAGACATTGACTTTCGGAATCTTCAATCCAAACAGAATTAGACATTCGTATGCTTAAACTGTAGCAATACAAATCCTCTTGCTTCAGTGTTTAAAGCCAGCCGCTGCCTGCCAAAGGTTAAAAAAGTAGACCACACAGCCACACGCATTTACTCCTGAAGTTCTCAAACTAGCTACTGTCAAGGGAACAGCCTGTAGCCAACAGACATGCCTGCTCTTGAACTGTAATTCCCAAGTTCCTTATTAATAGGTACTGAAGAGAAAGTCTGATAGATTTTGTACGTACCTGTATCATGCATTCAAACTGGTACATACAAAGGCCCAGTTCAGCCATGCTTGGTTTAAAGAGTTCTCGTAGTCTGTAATCTTGCATTAATTTAACAAACACACAAAATGCCTCTTCTTCTGGCATCTGTAATTAAAAATTAAAAAGCACAGTAAAAACTCCAGACAACAAGGATGTATCAGACTAAGTGCCTGGGAGGGTTTAAGATTGGGGGTTTTTTTGTGTGTGTGGTGGGTTTTTTTTTGTTTTGCGTTGTTTTTTGTTTTAAGGGATTTATAACCAATTACTGTAATGTACTTTTATATATATTGAATTCTATCAAGTGATTTCTAAACTGAAATGGAGGTCTGCAAATTTCTTCTAATATACCCTACTTTGTCATAAAACAAAAAGCAGTAACAGAAAGGCAGTTTTAAGATTATTAAATTAACTGTTAAGTTCCATTTGAACTCTGAGGAGATTCGGTATAATAGAATCGAAATGAGATGTTCATTAATAGTTGAAAGAACATTCACCAAAACAGCTTGCAAGTCTGCAATCCTACCTTAGCTCTGAGAAATAAATGTATTCTCCCACTCAAAGATAGTATCTTCTTGGCAAACAGAAGCACAGAGAATAAATCTCATTTGATTTGCAGAGTAAACAGCTGCCCTTGACAATTCCATTGTAACAAAACGACTAAGGACAACTATTATAAAAATTCCCAATAAACCACCATGATATATTACGCATTCTAGCGGGGATTTTAAAGGTTCACATATTTTTAATGTCATGTTTACCTGCATAAGCAGTAATCCAACTATAAAGGCGCTTCCTTGACAGTATCCAACCTCACGATCCACCAAAGAATAAGCCTAGGAAATAAAGTTTTAAGACTCTCAACAATTAAAACCTCATTATTAATAAAAAGCAATCGTAGTTCACGCTGTTATTTTACTAATAGCTTACTCTTCCTCTCCCAAATCCAGCGAGGACAGACATTCTATTCAGAAGTTTTAGTCAGATATTCTAGTTGCTACCTGCTGCTGCAAAGGGGTACGAACTCTGCTCTCCGATAGCCTACAAAGCTAAAAAACTAAGGCATACCTGAAAAAAGATACATGCAGTTTTCTACTACAGGAATTTGCCAAAAGGTAACAGAGACAGCTGGCATATAGACTGCACAAGGCTACCACTTTTATAGGAGACAGACCTGACAAAGAAACAACAGTTCTTTTCAGAAGAATTACACGCTGCAGTTTTATTTACAGGTGGAGGAAATGGGGTGCTCTCCGTGCATGTTGCATCTTCATTTTAGAGTTATGGAAGCTACTATGATTTGGAAACCTGTCAACTTTTCTGTTGAAACTATGTCGTATGGAAAAGCATCTTTCAAAATTTAAGCTCTAGTACAATGAAGACGGAATAACACAAAACTTAGTTTTCTGGCAGCATTCTCATTTTGTGCTTGGGCACTGTAACAGCTGCACATTAGCTTGTAGCTGCCATTTGCTGCTACCACTTGCAGGTTCAGAAACACTTGAAAACTGAATGCTAGCTTTGATTTACAATGCTCTTGTCTTGGTCAACATTGTTTACTTTACTTCACGGCACACTTTATCCCATTATACTATCAGCAGTTAGCACGTGACTTTGTTTTAATGCAAACGTAGTAAGTTTTTTAAATCTCTTATAAGTTAAAACCCTTAACTATAGGAATACCATATTTGAAAGCTATCTTGAAACTGCAATGTAATTTGTTAAACCATTCCAGTGTTAAGTAGAATAAGTTTAAAAAACTTGAACACAAGAAACTTATGCAAGTTCACTATATACAAGGCAAATTATTTTCGAAACTTCCGTGCACGTGCTTGCTAATGTATTTTCAAGGGCTGAACTACTGACTTACCTTCATTACATTGAACAAGACCTCCTGTCCAAGGCTGTCTTTTTCTTTAAAAAAATCATGTTCCGGGTATGTTCTAGCAATGTCCCTTCTTATTAATTTCTCACAAGGAGATGTCATTTTCAAAAGCTCTGAATACTGATCCTTAATTGGCATGCTTTGAGCACTGCATAAAAGTTGCCAAACAATTGCTCTGAAATGATGAGGTATCCCTTTTCGAACAAGCTCCTAAAGTATAAAAAAAAAAAAGAAACACAAATTCATTTATATTTCCTGAAAATATAAACGTAAGCCTAAAGAACAAAACATTTCAACAAATTAAGTTCCTCACAACTTCAGAAAATGCTTACATCATGTCATAAACCAATCATACAGTTTATAATGTGTAAACCTCGATTTTAGTGTGATAGATTGTTAGCTAACAAAAGCAAGGAGACTCTGAATCATTTTTAGTGCCTAAATTAGCTCATGAAAGTATTCCCCTATTCGTAGTAAGCTACTTGAAAAACTGAATATTCAAGTAATTTTAAACAAGAACTCCCATTACCCAGAATTTAATACAGTTATTTTTGTATTTCACAAAAGATGACTGAAGATAACACCCTTAATTATATTTGTAGTGATTGAGATATAAGAAATCACCAATTAAAACTTATTTCCAAGATAGGTAAATGATAAAAAGTGGAACTAAGTGTAGCACAACCACCTGCAACAAAAAAAATTGCACAGTGCTACTATCAGAACTCACTTGACAAACTTGACAAGTTGTGTCTGATTTCTCTGGTGTGCTGGTACTTCCAAGTTCTCTTTTAAGAAAGTATTTAAATGTAGTTTCAGACACTGGACCAAGGAAACATTAAGGTGACATCTACTGAATTAACTAAATTTACTTTATCTTCCCTGAAAAAAAAATCAGCTAGGTATTATACAATTCAAATCTTCCCAGAACAACAGATCCAGGAACCTGATACTTGTCTTTTCAGAAAGCACAAGCAGAAAGTAGTCTTGTTGCTTGATCTGAAAACTGAGGGGAAAAAAAGTGTGATTCAGGAAGTTTACAGACTGTCTTAGTGGTACTTTCTGCAACTAGGATCAGTCTGGCCTGATTGTCTTTTCAAGACGGCTCCTTTAATAATTTTTTGTACCTTAAGAAGTGTCATCAAGTATTCTGCCTCCTAAAGGATAGTTTCTTTCGCTAGTATTTATTCCAAAGCCAGAGTATCTCCTATTCTGCAAAGCTTCCTCTTTTTCCTGTTTGTTCCAAATATTTCTCCTACTTCTCCAAACATCAAGATTAATTAATGCAACAGTGATAACTTTTAAAGAGACTCTTGCTTTCGAGTTTTGTTTTTGTTAAGCTTGAACTCTACTGCAGGAATTTTGCATCAATGACCTCAATTTTCTAACATCCCCAAGATCTCCAGCCTTCTTCAGAACCATCCTGGTAACGGCACTCCACCTATTTGTCCTGTCTACGACACAACTACGACACCCTGTGTTATTCCCTAAAAGATTTCCAACTCCAAGACAACCACCCTACCGCATCAGCTTTCCACATCTGTCTCTAGCTATCGTTTGTCAACAAGCTATCGTTTGTAGATCAGGCATCTAAAGCCTCAAGGGCTACTAGTAACGAAGCGTTAGCAAAGTGGTTTCCTGCTTTAAGTTACCATGCACCTGCTTGACAGAATAACAGGGTTAATCCCTCCAACGTTCCTAAAGGAACAGCAGGGAAACACACCTACTAAGCGGCACTAAGATGATGCTACTCTACACAGCGTTATGCACGCTGAAAAGCAGGACTTGAGTCGTCCTTCAGAATCCCTCCATAAACAGAGAGCGAGTTCTGAAGTGGATCGAGAGACATAAGGGTGGAACACATCACCGATGCAGGAAGGTGAATATATGCCCATGTCTAACACTTAAAAAAACAGATACCTAATAACTTAAGACCAGCTTTTACAGCCAAGACAAAAAAGATACCTATGCTGCTAAAGTCATACCTACTGGCACAATCAGGGAATAGGTATGGATGTTCTGGTATTCCATCGTAAATGCAGAATGACACAGTTTAGGCTGACTTTCGACAAAGAAAATAAAAACAAAAAAATATTGAGAATTATTTAACCAGCAAAGGAAAACTCACTAGCAATATAATTAAATATTTACTGAAAGTTAGTCAAGTACTCCCCAAATTATACTTTGCCAGCTGTAAAAACAAGTGATACTTGTGACACTTTAAAACATTCAAATGCAGGCAGTTCAAATGAATTCTATCCAACCAGATCTACTTATTACCATCTCGCTTCTCCTTTCTCTTGCCAGGTTCATGTGGCCCCCTTTTCATGGCCTTTTGGGAACACCTTTCCAGAAACCGTTTTCCCTACGCAAGCAGGAAGCCTGGAATTCATTTTCTTCCCTTGTTTCCTCTCTCAAGTCATGTTCTCTCTTCACAACTGCTTCACATAAAAGATACTTTACTTTAGCCCATTGTTCTGCCTTCCCACAACCTATTCATATACACACATTTCAAACTGCTCAAAAGACCTGGAAATTTGTATTCTGCACATGAAACTACAGACTAGAGCCAATAAAGAACCAAGGCAGAACAGACTTGCCTACGAACAAAAAATCCCACGCTGCTGTACTTGCTGCCTCTGAAACATGGATATGTTCAAATGCCCCAGATGCTTTTTAGTTCCAATTTAAAGTGTAATTGAATTCCACCTCTGTACGTGTGCACAACTAAGCCAGACTGGACACACACTGGCCAAAGCTTGTCCAGTCCACTCAGAATTTAGAAACTATGTGTTCTTCTGCTTAAGGTCATCCCTGGGGTCAACACACTTGGCATGCACAAAAAAAAAAAAAATGAACTCAGAGCCTTATACAGTAGAATTATCAGCTCTTCTAGTAAGAATGCTTTAAAAAGACAGCTGCTTAGTGGGAAAATAATCATCGCACCCAGCTATCAGATGCCCTTAAGTGGGTTTTCAGTAATTCCATTTTGGAAACATGAAGCAAATCTTCCCTATATTCATGGGAATTTCTCATTAGAGGTAGACTGAAAACTAGTATTCAAGATATAGTAAATGCATCTAGTTTTCAATAAGAGACATTTGCTGGGCACAACTGCTACCCAAGTCTGGTAACAGTTATGTAGGAAGCACTAAAGCTTAGGGATGGAAGTAGATTCAGCTGGAAGTTTCTATTATGTACTTATTTAAAAAAATAAGACCAAGAGGAAGATAAACCAGTATCACTTCTATCACATTACGAATATACCCTAAAAAATAGTGTCCAACTACTACCTTAACTTGCTTTTCTTTCTTTTTCCGTACATCTTCCCATTCATTCACAATCCTCCCCCACAGGATCCATGAGTCTTCTTCAAGATGGCTGAGATTGCTAGAAGCTGATGAACTAGATACAAGAGAAGATCCACTATTTCTTCTTGACCCATTTACTGACCGCAAGGATTTGCTATCTGTTTCCAAGAGTCTGCAAAGAAAGCACACAAAAACCAAATTCGAATTCTTCTAATCACAGGACCACACTACTAATTGTCTTTTTAGAAGTTGATTTTTCCAACCTCTTTACAAAGAATGCACACAAAGGTTCAGCGCAACAGTTTTTCCAACATCCATTTGTACTAAATTTGAAGAACTGGTCAATGTTACTGTTTCTTCCCGAGATCTCAACTAATTCTGCAGACAGAAGAACAGCTCACATTGCAGCCGTTTAAGAACAGATAAAAATGTCTATCGTGCATCGACAACACTGAAAGAACAGAGATTTTAATACAAATGTTCTGTGGTCTCACGAACTAAATCTTAATACATAAAGATATCAAATTAGAGAAAGTACAGAAGCATTGCAAGTCCAACACTCTTTTACACATTCATCAACTGGAGATTAAGAGTGCTACAGGGAAGATGCACAAGTTTTGTTTTGAGGCATAAGTACCAGCAAGAGGGCTTTGATTTTACCAGCAACAAAAACCTCACAGCTGTTGTGCATCATACTGACAGAGAGAACATAAGAAAGTTAAATATCCTCAGTGACAGTGTCAAATGTTAAAAGTACTGCAAAAGAGACAGTAATTTTAAAGAACAGACAAAAAATTAGCCTCCTAAAATTCTACTTGATAACACCTTTTTTTTGACAGCATAAATACAGACGGGATAATTAAGACCCGGAGCAATTTTAAAACACCTGACATTTGCTGACAACTGTTCATAAATCAACATCATGTTTTATAAATGCATGGGAAAAATCTCAGACCTAAAGAATGAGGAGCAGGCAACAACAGTGGTTAGTATAGCTAATGAATGTGTAATTAAAGCCTGGAGTTCGGATGTGGGAACTTCTGGGGTGATCAGGGAGCAAGGGATACATAAAGATGTGCCAAGCGCTGGACAAGTTGCTGAAGAGACTTCCCTGTCAGCTGGTTGCTATGGCCATCAATTTTGCAAGGAGCTGGCGATTCTGGGCAAAAAGGCAAGCTTTTTCCTCAACTAATATTGAGCCCCATAAGCAGGGGGAAATTTTTTAGACCACGTTAGGCAAGAGCAAGAATTCAGACTAACTTGAAAAAGTGTTTTGCTATATCAAGAGTTGCATTTGTGCTTTAACTTCCAAGAATTCCAACGTCTGTACATCAGAGTGAACTGGTTGAATAATTTCTCAATGCACCTGCACAAAAGCTAACCCGCCCCCAGCATTTCAGCAAGGTCAGGTTAGGTTTTAGATATTTAATAAATTATAACCCGAGTTACATTGCACCTGAGATTGTACACAAATCTCAGCATACCTACAATTTTTAAGCTCTCTGCTACGATGGAGGTATTTATGCCAGCTTTCCCTGTTCCCAGCTTTCACCTACTGGTGTTTATGGAAGTTAGGGAAAAAAGTAACTTAATTCACGAAGACAACTAGTACAGTCTCTGCAGTAGTTATTTCGTTTGAAAAAGGGTTAAATAGTAGTGCCTTTGTAAAAAAAAAAAAAAAAACAAGCTTTTTCAAGACCGATTTTAATATAGTCCATATTAAGGGAATGCAGAAAATCCTGTTTTGAGGAAAAAATTAAAAAAAAAAACAAAAATCCATTTTTAATGTTTAGAAACCTGGTCTATACCGATCCGTAATGAAAATGTACAGTTTGGAACTCCTCCTCTCAACCTGAGACAGTGCCTAAAGATCAAATTCAAAGTAATCACAGAGGAAAAACAAGCACAGAATAAACATTACAATTATAAAAACAAGGTTCTAACTAGTCACTTTCAGTTTTCACAGCTTTCTACAGAAGTTATGCTAAGTTTCTGTAATTTGACCTTACCTGGATAAACTCATTGTCCTTAGATTTGAAAATAGGAAGATCTTTTTACAGTAAGTAGGGAGTTCTGTGGGGTTTAGTCACTGTTATCTTTCACCTAAAACTTTGTAAATGATTTACAAATGCCAAACAGCTCCACCAGGACTCTGGACCGAGCTACCTCGTCATTCTGAGGGGACTTTCAGTATAATTGGATTACAGAATGCTACAAGACATAGCTTGATACAATTTGAGTTCTTTCCATTCTTAGCTGTTTAACTAATTAATATTCTCCTTACTGACATAAAAGCCAACAATGAAAAGGAAACCTTTAAAAATATCCATCACCAGCAATTCTTCCAGCAAGCAGAAACAAGAATAGTTCCCTGTGTTCCGAGTACAATTCCTTGTCAACAAAGTGCCACTGTGCTAAAGTGCAGACTCAAACTGTTCTGAAACCACGGGGCACCCAGCATAAGAGCATCAAATTTCTGTATTAAAGTGTAGTATCTCACAAGAAAAGGCACACTTGATAGGGTAGCCTCTGATTAGAATTCACACAGAAGACTACTGTGGGACTGAACAACAGGTCTGGCTAAAATTAAATAAAACCAGATGAGATTTACTAAGTGAAGAAAGCTGACTTGAAAAAGAAAGGCTAGCAAGCCCAAGCTCATGTTCTTCTTTCAACCAGCAAACTAGTCTAACTGCGGGGCTTAATGAGATGACTCTAGATGTAAAGACATTACGCTCTAACACAGATAAGCGGTCCAAAGAACAGATATTACTGCTTTTCAAATAAAAGTTAGTCACTTAGTCGTCAACAGAGCTGAATGCCGCAGATTAAATGCAAATTAGCACTCTCTTATTTTCTCCTTCTTTTGATAAATTTTCCTTTGCTATCAGCACAGCAAAAATTACATATAGTTCATCTTCGAAGGAGAGACAATCCCATAAACCACAAGAAAAAGAGGAGGAGGCGGTTCTAGAAGCTGCCTTCCATTCTCAGCCAAGAACTAGACAGATATAACAAATTCCCTGTAAGTTGTATCACTGTTAGGCTGCAGAATACAAACATGAGAGAAGACATGCCAGGTGACACCATGGCATTAGCCCCTCCTCCTCCCAGTTACTCTTCTCCTCTACTGACAGTTACTACCCTCATAACTGAACCAGCAGAATAAAAAACCCCCAAGTACCTCAACTGCCTCAGTGCAAAGTCCAGCATGGTAACAGAAGCCAGTTTGAACTAAACTATCAAACTCTGCACTTCGCTACAGCACAAGGGATAGCGATCTGCAGTAGGTATCAAAGCCCTGCAGCTATCTGCTAAGTCTAAAACCTATTTGGAGTTCGAGTTCTCCCTTTACAGTCAACCTCTCGTGAGCTACTGAAACGTGCTCGTCAAATACAACCAAATTTTGCAAGAGGCCAGGTGACTTAGAATTCCTGCCTCAAGAGTGCAAGTAAGTATGAGTTCTGAAAATTCAGCATTAAGAAATCACACATTCCAATTTTATTTCTTTGCGAGATTGCCAATTTGCAATCACTGTGCATGTCAAGAGCAACTGATCCAACTGAAAGTTTCATCTCGAACTGTAGATGGTGCAGATACAATCATGGAAAGGCTGCCAAGAAAACGGTTGCTTACTGTACAAAAAAAAAGCCGGGATGAACAGAAAAGACTGATTAGGAATTTACTTTTCATGAAATTGAGACATTATGCATCTGCCACCATTAGCATAACAGCAGGATGCATCTACTATTTCTTGCAAATAAAGATGGCTGAACACTGTTCCATCTCTAAACAGAGCGGGTTATATAGTGGAAAGCAAGAACTGGGTAAAAGTGGAAAAAATAGAGAAAATGGAATTCAGAAATCTTTAACATTTCAAAAAGCTAATAGAAATTACAGTTTTGATCTAAGAAGGTGGGAAGGTTATATGAAAGTTTCATCCCTGAGATACTCTATTTTAAATACAGTTGGACTTGATGATCTTAAAGGTCTTTTCCAACCTAAACAATTCTATGAAATTGGATACTGAAAATCACATGGCTCCAGTGTACTTTCTTAGGATTAGAGGCAGCTATAAACACTCCTGTAAAACCAGGACAGAAAAAACACCTTTTAGACTTCCACAAAAAAAGAACTTTTAAAAACATAGCACAAGAACACAAGTTCTTAAACCCTGGGGCCTTGAAATTGGAATGCTGAAATTGCAACAAACCAATTTTAGTCTCATTACTGTACTTTGAAGACCAAAAAGTTTTCCATTCACCTGTTCTGTTCCTCAAGTTTAGCGAGCAATTCTAAGTCGTCTGGACTCAGCTGTGTTGGTGAGGATGGTGACAAGGCGGGTGTAGACAGAGTGGTAGAGGAGGATGTAGTGTGTAACGAGGCAGATGGACTTGCCACCTGACTGGCCATTTGACTGACGGTGTGTGATACAGTGTTCTTCACCCATGAGAAAGTAGAGCTCAGCTTTCCTGCAACCTTGCCTGTCGCCACCTGCGATGACAAAAAGAAGAGGATGCAATAGTTGTCTTTTTTTAATATTTTTTCAGTAAACCTGCTGTCACTGAAGAGAGGGGAAAAAAATACAATATGCATGAAGTGACATTGAGATTATTTCTTTTTCCAGGACACCCAGGACTGTCAGAAGCAACAGAAGCATCAACAGCAACACAATATTACAGAAGAAGTAACGTGCAAATATGCTGCTAATCCACAAAGAACGACTCAGAGGAATTCCTGAGGTATACTCACACAGCTCATTTCTGCAGTACAGAAATACCACAGGATCCAGGATCAGCTCAGACTTCCCATTACAAAAATAAATAGAAATAAAAGCTTATTTTAAAACATTTTGATAAACTAATAATGGCACAGAAACTGTAGAAACATAGGTCTAGAAACAGTCAACTACTTTACTGATGGACACTGGAGCAGTACAAGTATATTGATGTAAACACCCCAGCCCACCCACTGCTCACCTCCATTAATCCCTACAGCGGCAGGATGGAGGAGCAGGGGCACCCCATTTCTAACCTACACCAAAGCAAAAGGTCCTCTAGCATCTGCCAGCGTGCAGAAAACAGTCACAAAGAATTTATGCCTGTGAATCTACAACGGCTCCTGAACATCTTACATTAAGGCCTCATGCTGCCAGCTCTTCTCCTTCCTCACTTTCTCTTCAGGTTGCCCCTACACCAAGTGTCCTTGATCCCTGATGCCACTGCCAGCGCCTTGACGATCCTGGGGTTTGAGAGGGGTCCTGGAGGAAAAGTGAGAGGGGCCACTAGAGCAGAAGGGAGCTGCGCGTAGACAGTCAGGGAAACTGCGGGTCCAGGAACGAGGAGGTTAACTGGGGCTCATCACAATCTCCTGCTACTTCTTGACCAGCGTTATGGGGTAACGCAGCCTAACAGATTCACTGATCGCTGGAGAAGAAAACTGCAGCGCACGGAGTTATTTTCTAATGGACCCCTCACTTCAGCTTCCTTCAGCAATTGAAAATGCAAGAGACTTTAACGTACAGCGATTCACAACAGCATTCAATTCCTCCCCTGGCCCAAGTCAGAGCAAATCTAGAAGTACCTTAAGGGAAGAGCTAGCTGCCTAGCAAAAGGTTAAAACTTCTCAAAACCAAGGTTGAAGAGGAACTTCCTTTGAAGTAGTGCTGCTGGCAACTATTTCTTTTGACCTTTGCTGACTTCCTCAAAACACTGAATTGCTCAATGGTTGTCACAAACAATTCTGCAGTACAGCCTATAGAATAAATGCTGAGATACTAAAGACACTGAGATACAGAAAAAAAAAAATCCCTTCCCAAGATCCTCTAACAGAATCTAACTAAAGCAGAATTTCAACGGGAAAAATAACCCCATCTCAGCACACCATGCGTTTACCTTGAAGCACAGTACATAGACTGAGCGGTTGCTAAAGCAGAAGCTTTTATTTAGATACAGTGCTACAATTAACTTTTTTCTGAATCAAAAAAATCCAGCACTATTTTATTTTCACATCATATCAAACGGAAGACAGACCGAATGCCTCCAGAAAACAAGAGGAACACTACAGGCCAAACACGACACAGCAGTACCCAATCTCCCCACTGCCTCTCCACCAGCAACATGACACTTAAGAGCTCTCCCAGAGGACTGCAAAGAGGTTTCCAATTTCCATATGCTTAACATTCATTCTGGAAATGGTAACAGATTTTGCTAGAAATCTTCAGATGCAAGGATACAAACCACAGGCGGGAACAGTAAGGTCACAACGTAAGCATCGGAAAGATTCCAGTTGGTTCTTATGTCACCGTTGGACAGGAAAGTTAACGTATATCAATATGTTTAAAAAAAAAAAAAAACAAACACATGACCTTTTAAAGATAATCTTTGATAAAAAAAAAATCACTTGCAATACTAGCATTTGCCACCATCTTTTATACAAGAAAGGAATAAAAATTGCTAGAGGTTTCAAAATCTTAAGTTTAATACATTCATTAATATTTCACTCAGTAAGTGTCCTTTATTCTCTATAGCTACGGAAGAATAACTTACTGCTGTTTCACTTTGAATAAAATAGCATTACAATAAAGGTAATTCATATGTCTCACTTGAGAGTGATTACTTTCTCAAAGGCTTTAAACTGCTTAAAATATGACAAGTAATGCAACTATGCCAAAAATAAATGTTGGCAGAAACAGGCCCAATCTTAAGAACACAGCAAACATGACCGCCATACACAGCAGGTTTTAAGAGTCACCCAGTCTAAGAATCTTACACATAAATATTAGAAAAGCAGTGATTTTGAGTAATACTCTGTGTGACAGAAACAGGAAGAGAAAGTATACAACCAACTTCTATCTCTTTGCAAAGGAAAGCAACTAGGAAGACTTAAGGTGAAAAAGTAAATCCAAGCTGAGTCTAGCTTACACATTATGAGGCTCATACTCCAGGTTAAGATAGCTGAAGCAGGGGGTGGGGTGGCGAACAGAAATCAAGAATCTTACTACCATACATTCACGAACACATCACTAGGCATTCAAAAATTAACGCAAAGGTTTGTAGAAACCAATGATGTGAAGAATACTAAGAAAAAGTATGGTGAAGAAAACCACGCAAGACAGCAGTTAAACCAGAGCAACGGGTCTAACAATACTCCTGTTTCTAAAAGCAGTTCAGAGTTTCATTAGAATGTATTCAGAGAATTCATACCAAAAAAAATTTCCTAGTCTGAAAGCATTAACACATATAACAATCAAAATGCACAACTGCAAAAAGGAAATGTTTGAAGATCAAAAGGCTCGCAGTGAAATTTGCAAACACACATGAAGAATTCGTTTGGGGATAGCAGCTACGGCAGTCACCCAAGGCCAAGCTAAATTAAGAAAAAAAATTTCTCATATAATAGCTAACTAGTCAAGCCCACATCCCTTTTGCCAGGCTTTTCCAGGGTTTCCTAAAAATCTAAAGCCAGCCCTCAAATTGTCAGCACCAGTGCAGACTCCTGGACCTAGACATGAAGGCATTTAGTATCAGCTCGTTATCCCTTTCCCTAAATAGGATAGAGTAACAAGATTTTCATATTTCATCATTTCTCCTATGTTAACTTCAAAATTCATATTCAGTGATCGAAGATTTCAGAGAGTTATTCTGTGACAAGTCTCTTTAGGCCTTCCAGAAAACAGGTCCCTGGAATTTGAAAATGAGAAAACCTTGCTAGGAGCACCACACCAGTATTCTTATCAAGACGCACACAGTGCTCCTACACTTGCCCTTCCAACTCTTTACCCTTCTCTTAATGAAGAATGAAAATCCCTGCTACGCGTCATAAGGTTTTCAACTCTACGTATGCTATTCCATCCAACAGGATAGCTGCACTTAGCCACCGCTAAACCACAGAGCACTGCTACGCCCCACCTTTCCGCCAACAATCCCTGCAACAAGAAATCCGTGTCCCATTACGAAGACAACACATAGGCGTAGTACAGAAATGAATCCTGCTGACTCCCACGACTATGGCAATACAGACGGGTAGTACAAAAATGAATCCTACTGGCTCCCAAGAGCTGGGTATCTCTTTCCTCCAGCAGCACAAAGGAATGAGCTGAAGGTTTCACTCTAGCCCCTTCCATGAAACTGGGGCTCCCCATTTAAAAATCACAGAGCTATCAGCTTGTTGAAATTAGTCCTTCTGCCTTTAATTATAGCAATGAGAATAAAGTCAGTATGAATGGTGGCGGATACTTCCACTGGGTATCACCAACTCCAGGGAACAGGAAAATCTGGATGAGCATTTGGTTTAACACCTCCCTGCTTTAGAGACGTGATTTTGCTAACACAGCGTTCTGGAAAAACTCAAGAAAGCCGGTATTGTTAAATCTTTAATCTTTTCTTTGTGTTTTTGGACAGTCTCCTCAAGGTTTTCCTAAACAAATGTTTCTTTTAAAAACTGGTTATTAATTAACCACTGATATTTCTGCAGACCTGCAGCAGTATCTCCCTTTTGGCTACACCAATGATGCTCTGCAGTTACAAAGCGTCCCTCCCTTTGCTACTCTTCATTATTGTGGAAAAGAGATCACAGTCGTGTGCTCTGCTGTCTGTAGCAGTAACAAGGACAGCCAGATACACCACAGTGCCCATCCCAAAAATCTTAGCTAGGTCACAGCAATAAATCCGACTACAAGAGACAGGACTTTTGCCTTTGCCATCATCCTCTCGCTAAGCGTATGCACCTATGCTCCTTCCCCTCTGTTCTGCCATGAAGCACTCACGCTTGTGAAGCCGCTCTGCCTGGCGCCCTCCTGTGCCGCACCGTGTGCCACAGGCAGCAGCTACGCAGGTGGCTCAAGCCCTGACTCTGCTCCCTACGTCCCAATACTTACCAGATCTAGGCAAGCCCCTCACTACGAGAAGGACATCCAGGTGCTGGAGCGTGTCCAGAGGAGGGCAACGAAGCTGGTGAAGGGTCTAGAGCACAAGTCTTGTGAGGAGCGGCTGAGGGAACTGGGGTCGTTTAGCCTGGAGAAGAGGAGGCTGAGGGGAGACCTTATTGCTCTCTACAACTGCCTGAAAGGAGGCTGTAGCGAGGTGGGGGTCGGTCCCAAGTAACAAGGGATAGGATGAGAGGAAACGGCCTCAAGCTGCGCCAGGGGAAGTTTACATTCCAGGGGAGATTTAAGTTAGACATTAGGAAAAACTTCACCGAAAGGGTGGTCAGGCATTGGAACAGGCTGCCCAGGGGAGTGGTTGAGTCTCCATCCCTGGAGGTATTTAAAAGACGGGTAGCTGGGGTGCTTAGAGACGTGGTTGAGTGGTGGGCTCGGCAGCGCTAAGGTAACGGTTGGGCATGATGATCTTAAAGTTCTTTTCCAGCCTAAGCGATTCTATGATTCTAAGCTCTCCATCCCTTCAGTTAACCAGCTCAGGCTGCGAGCCCCCAGTTAACAGTATTCTTTGCTCAGCTCACCTCAGCCAGTTTTTCAGCTATGCAGAGAGAA